TTAATAGCATACGAGTTATTTTGACAACTAAATGTAGTAAGGTCATCTCCCGTAAGATCAACCGAGCTATCAACAAGCTTAAATTGGTGGAGTTTTTCACAGCGAGACAAAGTTTCGAAGATTAAATCATTACAAATTTTAAGATCACGGGACCATAACGACCAAATCATTACGAGTTTAAAAATACAAGCTTTAGTTTTAAGAAAGTACACTGACCCAATGTACTTTTTGGCCTAAAGATATGAACCCTAGGTTTATTTTGGTACCTTCTTTTGTCTTAGACTGGCCATTTAGTTTATTCTAACCCTTGTGGGTTCAATGCAAAGTTTGTACCTTCTTCACCGCCAACCCTGGTCGGGTCAGCTTGATTGACCGGAACTGGAGTCTCAGATTTTGCAGTTCTATGGCTACATATTCATTGGGCATACGTGACGGAATTGCCCGTATCTGAGCTCGAGAAATATACTTTATACTGATCGTGGCTACTTCAAATTTATCCGTTACTCGTGTTATAATGATTCAGAGCCAAAACTGGTGGAATGGTCATTTTTTTATCTTACTTGGCGGTACCCAGGCAGTCGGTGATTCATCACCTCCTTACCTGTGATGGTTAACTTATCATTGAATGTTGCATATTTGTCACAAAATGTAATATTTTGAACATTATGTTATAAGAATATTAGGGAATTGGAGAATTTTGTACTTTAAATAAATATTTTAGAACTTATTATAGTTCAATTATTCGAGAAAATATGCTAATTGAATACCTTATACTAAAAAAAAAACACACATGAATGCATTTGTTTTGGTTTAATACGGTGAACGGTTGATCTCTCCTCGAGTCATCGACCAAAGACGTTCTTGAGAAGCCCGTAAAGCGGACAACACAAACCCTTTATTTTAATCGGGAACGGGAGCACTAAAGCTCAATAATCATACATTATCAACTCTTCTTCTATGTCAAAAGTTCAAATCTCTATTCCGACCGTCACGAAAACAGTGATTTGGCTCACGACTTTAGCTAGCCAATCATTGGAAGCGAAATTTGCTTTTCTCATACTACAAATTCGATAATCGTACCAACGATACAAACCCTAGAATTCCCAAACCCTAAAATTCACGATCGTGGACAAATACATATAACCTACTATATACATTTTTTAGATTCGAATCTTTGACCTCTTGATCGATAATATATTTCTATATTAATTAAGTTATACTTCACCGTTAAATAGAATATATAAATTTATTCTCACAAATTTAAATAATTATATATATATATATAATTTAGAAAAAGAAAAAGAATTTATAATTGTTACCAACCATAGTGTAGGCCCTAAAATTAATTTTAAAAAATTCACAAAAAATACAAGTTAGAGATGAACCCTAGCTAGGAATCTTCAACCCCAAGTCCTTATATTTACCCTAAATTTCTCTTCTCTTCTTCACACTCAAAAAACACCACAAAATTCAGCTCCTTCACAAAACATCATCATCATGGCCACTTCCCATGTTTCTGTTACAAAAACCCTCACTGTCTTTCCCAAAACCTTAAACTCTCCAAAACTCTTGGAGCTCTCAAACTTAGACAGGCAGTGTCCCTTGCACGTGTACCTTATTTTCTTCTACAAGCCATCTTCTAGCTCATCATTTGACTCGGTCTTCACCAAGCTGAAAATAGGGTTAGAAGAAACGCTATCGGTCTGGTCCCCGGCGGCTGGTCGGTTGGAGCCGAACCCCGCCAACGGTAAGCTGAATCTCCGGTGCAACAACCGCGGTGCAATTCTCGTTCAATCGTTCACCAATGTCGAGATTTCAAAACTTGGAGATCTCTCGAATTACAATGAGTTCTTTGAGAAGTTGGTTTATAAACCTGTTTTGAATGGGAATTTTTCTGAGTTCCCTTTGGTTGTGGCTCAGGTGAGAGGTTTTTCTTTATAAAAAAACAAAAGGGTTTTGGTTTTTTGTTGAAAATTTTGCTTAATTTCATGAAAAAGTGACAGAAAGAAAGGATTTTTATTGATTGAGACAAAGAAACAGAACATGTAAAAGGTTAGGGTTTAAGACAGCAGCTATGTCGAGGCTTTTTAGGGCAAAGAGACAAGCTTTGGATTAGACAATAATGAACACATTCTCACAGTCTGTAAAGACAATTATTTTTGTTCCTTCTTTCAAGATCTTCATAGATATGATCATATGATTCAAACCCAGTTGGCTTTAGAAGAAAACAAGACAACTTAGGTTGTTCGAAACAAGGTCTAATTACATGTTTGGTCGTTTGAATATTGCGTTTATTTAGTCTCTCTCGAGAGCAAAGTTAGAAATTTTTATAGGGGAGAGACAAAATTTTACGCTCTAACATAATCTTTCGATCCTTAAAAATTGAAGGAGAATTTTTATTCTTGATTGTCTTACCCAGTTAAACTATACATACTACCACCCTCGATAGACAGTTAGCCGTCCTACAACTACTCGAAAAGGAGATGGGGTGATCTTGAATAGGAATCTTAAAGAATCTCCATAAAAATAGCACTAGATCGAGCATAGGTGATTTTGTAGTTGGTCAAAATCTTGACTAATTGATTGAAGGAGGTAGTTCCAGTAGACTCATAGATCCCAAAACAAATAGGATGGGTCGGCCCAAATCGAAAAATTTCAATTATAACCCTAAAATTGTTAAGGTTTTTTGAATTGGGGGCGGGAAAATTTAGGGTCGTTAAAGTATAGAGACTAAATAAACGGATGAAGTTGTTGTTTTTGTTTATTTTAATGATGTTTTAAAAAGCAGGTGACAAGGTTTGGGTGTGGAGGATACTCCATAGGAACAGGAATAAGCCATTCATTGTTTGATGGACCAGCTGCGTACGAGTTCCTAAGTGCATGGGCGGCAAAGTCAGCCATTTTCAAGGACAAGAAGGAGCCATATGGGGTTGAGTTGCACACGCCAGTGCATGAGAGAGGGAGGCTTTTGATGGGTTACGACGCGAAACGGAGCTTGGAGAAGAGGGCGATGCCGGTGTCGGGGGCGGTGGCGATCGATCATTTGTATCGGTTGATAATGCAAAGCATGACGGGGAAGGAGGAAATGGGGAAAAAGGAATATGTTTATAGAACGTTTAGATTGAGTAGAGGAATGATCGAGAGGTTGAAGAAGAACGCTATGGGAGAAAATGGTGGCTTTGCTTGTTCGTCGTTCGATGTTATTGCTGCTCATTTATGGAAGGTACTAAGCTTTCATTTTTTTTTTAATTAATACAATATCTGCGAGTGGTGGATTTGAGCGGTTACAAATGATATCAAAGTCAGACACCAGGAAACGAAGCATTCTATTTAAAGGGTGTGGAAACCTCTCCTAGCATATGCGTTTTAAAACCGTGTAGCTGACGGTGATATGTAACGGGTCAAAGCGGACAAGTAGTTGTTACAGTTATTTCCTACCTATGAGTTTGACTTTAAAAAAAAAAAAAACATTCAATTTTGGTCGTTAAATTTGGTTTGAGACATTATTGTCTGTTACAGGCAAGAACTAAGGCTATGTCTGTGAGCAAAGAAAAGATGGTGTGCTTACAATTTGCAGTGAACGCCAGGAACAAACTGATGCCTCCTCTACCTAAAGGCTTCAGCGGCAATGCCTTTGTGCTCGCTTCGGTCGCCTTAACCGCAAGACAATTGGAGGACGAAAGCTACAAAACAATAGTTGATATGATACGAAACGCCAAGTCTCGAGTCGACAACGACTACATCAATGCATACAAACAAGGCCTCGAAGGCCCTCAGGCTTCCCTTCCTCCTCTCAAGGAGCTCACTGTTGTATCGGATTGGACCCGAATGCCGTTCCACAAGATCGAGTTCTTACATGGACAAGCTCTCTATGCATCCCCTTTAAAGCCACCGATCCTCGACGTCGCTTACTTTCTGCAGAGCCCCATAGATAGCCAAGCGATCGATGTTCGGGTCCCTTTGCTGGGAGGGACTCTTGAGGCTTTCTCCTCCTACTTCTTGACCGGCATGCAATGAGGCTTTAAAGTTACCCTTCTTTTGCAGGGTTGCTTTGTTTTAGTGTATCCCTTAGTAAGGTTCTAAGTTTGAATAGCATAAGGGCTTGTTCATTACTGAACAAATGGTCAAATAGTGTACTAAGAAGAATAATATGATATCTTTGTAGAATAAGAGAGCCGACAAGCTTTTGTGGTACGGTACAGTCAATGTCAACGGTCCGATGGGCGTTGTAATAATTTCCATCTAATCTAAAATAGATATCGTTCCGAAAGTCGGTAGAAATAAAGGCAATCACGTAGCGTAGTTGTAATAGCCCAAACTCACGGCTAGCAGATATTGTCCTCTTTAGGCTTTCCCTCAAGGTTTTTGGAACGTGTTTGGTAGGGATAGGTTTCCACACTCTTATAAAGAATGCTTCATTCTTCTCCCCAACCGATGTAGGATCTCACATCCACCCCCGTTCAGGGCCCAACATTCTCACTTGCACTCGTTCCCCTCTCCAATCGATGTGGGATCTCACAATCCACCCTCCTTCAGGGCCCAACATCCTCGTTGGCACACCACCCGATGTCTGGCTTTGATACCATTTGTAACAACCTAAGTCCACTGCTAGCAAATATTGTCCTCTTTGAATTTTCCCGGTCGAGCTTTCCCTCCAGACTTTTAAACACGTTTGTTAGGGAGAGGATTCCACACCCACTTTGTTCTCCTTCCCAACCAATGCGGGATCTCACAATCCACCCTCTTTTAGAGCCCAGCGTCTTCGCTGACACTTGTTCCTTTCACCAATCAACGTGGAATCTCACAATCTACCCCCTTCGAGGCCCAACGTCCTCGTTGGCACATTGTCCAGTATCTGGCTCTGATACCATTTGTAACAGTCCAAGCCCACCACTAGCAGATATTGTCCTCTTTGGACTTTCCCCTTCGGACTTCTCCTCAATGTTTTTAAAACGTGTCCGCTAGAGAGAAGTTTCCACACCCTTATAAAGAAACCGATACGAGAGAAAGCAAAATCATTACCCATATGAATTACAATGTACAATTGTTGGCCAACATTAAAGGCAATAAACAGTCATGGAATCAAAATGAAAAAGAGACTTCCTTCAGTACTTCTGCTCTGCCAAACAGGAAAACAGACTATGTAGAAAGCTAAATAAGAACATGATCAGAGAGCTAAACCTGCAGGGACTAAATACATTGAAATCCGCTCGACGCAAAACTAGATAACGCTGGCAGTCCGAGTCGAGGACCCTTTGTTCGAGTAGGTCGGTTTCACAAGCACGTGCACGTTCCAATAGGAAAATTATCACATCCAAAATCTCCTTCCAATAATTTTGCATCATCTTGTACCTGCAAAGTATCAAATTGTTGTTTGAAATTGTTACAGAGAAGCTATGGCAATCTAGACGAAAAGTTGCATACAAATTTTTTACCCGGGACGAGAGGATCCCATGTTAGTTAGGGAGGGGAACAAAGCATTCTTAACAAGGGTGTGAAACTTCTCTTTAGTAGACGCGTTGAGGGAAAGCCTAGAACGGAAAGCCCAAAGAGGACAATAATTGTTAGCAGTGGGCTTGGGCTGTTACAAATGGTATCAGAGTCAGACACTAGGAAGTATGCTAGTGAGGACGCTGAGACCCAAAAGGAGGTGGATTATGAGATCTCACGTCGGTTGGAGAAGGGAATGAAACATTGTTTATAAGGGTGTGGAAACTTTTCCTGAGTAGACGCGTTTTAAAACGTTGAGGGAAAACCCAAAAGGGGAAGCCTAAAGAGGACAATATCTGCTACCGATTGGACTCTTACAAATGGTATCAAGCAAGACATTGGGCACTGTGTCAGCTAGGATGCTGAGTCCCAAACGGGGTGGATTTTGAGATTCCACGTCAGTTGGAAAGGGGAACAAAGCATTCTTCACAAGGGTGTAGAAACTTCTTCCTAGTATACGAGTTTTAAAATCTTGAAGGGAAACCCAAAAGGGATAATATCTGCTATCGGTGAACTTGGGTTGTTACGGTATCAGAGCCTGACACCGAACGGTGTGCCAGCTAGGACGCTGAGCCCCAAAAGGGGGAGGATTGTGAGATCCCACATCGGTTGGAGAGAGAAATGAAGCATTTCTTATAAGGGTGTGGAAACCTCTCCTTAGTAGACGCGTTTTAAAACCTTGAGGGGAAGCCTAGAAGTGAAAACCCAAAGAAGACAATATCTGCTAGTAGTAAGGTTGGGCCGTTACAGTTAACTACCCAAAGAAGACAATATCTGCTAATAGTAGGCTTGAGTCGTTACAGCTAACTTGACCTACTCACAATTTCGATACTATACCCTCCCCGAGTAAGTGCCATTTAACCGAGGCTTATCGGTTTCGAGTGAATTTTTTGGTTTCAAATGGGAAAGGATACACTCTTTCTCCACTAACAACAAGACAAAAAGAAAAGATGTTACCTGTTTCATCATTGCACATGCTATGTCTTCCAAGGAACCACAGTTACTTGAACAAAATCTAGCTTGCATTTTTTGCTGATGATCATACAAAACTCCTTGTTTCAACATGATCGATGTCTCGATAGACGATTTCTTGAATTGATCGTGATCCACCATTGCACGATCGAGATCATTTGCTCGACTAATCACGTTAAAATCCTTGCTTCTAGAGAAGATTGTGTTCTGATTTTCGAAACGCTTTGGTAACGTCCCTGCAGCACGATTCACTGGTATGAATGAATTCGATGAGCTACAGGCCACGGTCGTGTCGTAATAGGCGTCCTCTAGATCATTCCAATCTTGAACGGGAACCTTTGTGATTACTCGATCATATCGATTGCTACTCGTGGCTGCTTGACGTTGAGTATCTGTTCTTGAATCATGGGATTGAGTAGATTTTGAAGCAATGTCAGAAACACAATTTCCTATATGCAAGAGCATCCTAGATGAACGAGCAGCCTTCGACCAATCGTTACCCGTGCATCGAATACTATCTACCGAAGGACGTGAACTTTCCAAGCTTGCAGATACTACTGAAATCAAGGGGTCATTACTCAAATGACCAGCAGCAGAAAACACTGTTCTCTGATCAAAAGCACGAGCGAGATCGTCCACGGTGCCGTGCTTAACATGTTGTACTCGATCAAGTCCTGATGACTCTAGCATTCCCCGGAACATATTCGCACTGCGGGGCCTTGGCTGAAATGTAGACTCCAGTGGAACGGTTCCCGGGGAAGAAAGGCCATTCATGCCCATACAAGCAGGAGTATTCAATCGACCGAGCATCCCGGTGGTCGGGATAGATCTATAAGCAGTGTTGGGAAACGGTGGAGGTCCAGTGACGGAATGGAAATTCCCGATACCGTTAAGAGAACCAAGTCTCATATACGAAGGGTCGGCGCTGCTCAATGCAGTCACCATGTTAGCTTGTTGGTTTGCTACACAGCTGATTCTCCTGAGATAAAGCCTATATTTCTGCAGTCCATAGAGCTCACGTTGGTTAGGCTTCTAAAACTAATGACTGAGTGCAATGATGAATAACAAGACTATTTACCTGAAGATGACTAGCAACGTTTTCTCTTGTGAGCTTTTCAACGTTCATCAAGTCCAAAATCTTTTTGGGCACTGCCTCTGCATAGCAAAAGGAGATGGATAGTGAAAGAACGTTGACTCGAGAAATCTTTTGTAACCGTCCAAACCCACCGCTAGCAGACACTGTCGTCTTTGAGCTTTCCCTTCAAGGGCTTCTGCTCAAGGTTTTAAAACGCGTCTGTTAGGGAGAGGTTTTCACACCCTTATAAGGAATGCTTCGTTCCCCTCTTCAACTGATGTGGGATCTCACAATTCACCCTCCTGGGGCTCAGCGTCCCCACTAGCATACCGCTCGGTGTTTGACTCTGATACCATTTGTAACATCCCAAGCCCACTGCTAGCAGATACTGTCCTCTTTGGCCTTTCTCTTTAAGGGTTTCTGCTCAAGGTTTTAAAATGCGTCTGTTAGGAAGAGGTTTTCACACCCTTATAAGGAATGTTTTGTTCCCCTCTCCAATCGACGTGAGATCTCACAATCCACCCCCCTTGGGAGCCCAGCGTCCTCACCGGCAAATCGCTCGGTGTCTAGCTCTGATACCATTGGTAATAGCCCAAGTCCACCGCTAGCAGATATTGGTCTCTTTGGACTTTTCCTTCAAGGGCTTCCCCTCAAGGTTTTAAAACGCGTGTGTTAGGGAGAGGTTTCCACACCCTTATAAGGAATGTTTTGTTCCTCTCTCCAATCGATGTGGGATCTCACAATCCACCCCCCCTGGGAGCCCAGCGCCCTCACCGGCAAATCGCTCGGTGTCTGGCTTTGATACCATTGGTAATAACCCAAGTCCACCGCTAGCAGATATTGGCCTCTTTGGGCTTTCCTTTCAAGGGCTTCCCCTCAAGGTTTTATAACGCTTCTATTAGGGAGAGGTTTCCACACCCTTATAAGAAATGTTTCGTTCCCCTCTCCAACCGACGTGGGATCTCACAATCCACTCCCCTTGGGGACCAGCGTCCTCGTTGGTACATCGCCCAGTATCTGGCTTTAATACCATTTGTAAAAGCCCAAGCTCACCGCTAGTAGATATTGTCTTCACTGGCCTTTCCCTTCAAGGGCTTCCCCTCAAGGTTTTAAAACATGTTGGTTAGGGAGAGGTCTCTGCACCCTTATAATGAATGCTCATTTCTTCTCTCCAACTTATGTGGGATCTCACAATCCATCCCCTTTGGGGCCCAGTGTCCTCACTGACACACCGCCCGATGTTTGACTTTGATACCATTTGTAACAGTCCAAGCCCACCGTTAGTAGATATTGTCCTCTTTAGGCTTTCCCTTTAAGGACTTCCCCTCCAGATTTTAAAACGCGTTTGTTAGGGAGAAGTTTCCACACCCTTATAAAGAATGCCTCGTTCCCCTATTTGTTACAAATGAAGAACCCTTTTCAACCCGAGAGAGAGAGAGAGCGAGAAAGGATGAAGTACTCACTATCTATGCCCAACTGGTTAACAGCATTTACGAACTTCCTATGCAGCTCGACAGACCAAACAACACGAGGCTTCTTCTGGGTCGACGAGTCATCGTCCTCTTGCCCGTTATAATCCTGGTCATCATCCTCATCATAGTTTTGATCCTTCCTTTTCTTCTTAAACTTCCCATTTGGATCAGCTACTTCTTCACCATTCTCAGAATCAAGCTTGGCCTGATTGATAGATTTCATCTGATCCTTTGGATCAAATTTCTTTCTCCTGATAACATGCTGCCAAATGTTCTTTAGCTCCTCAATGCGAACAGGTTTCAGCAAGTAATCACATGCTCCATGAGTTATCCCTTTCATCACAAGTTTGGGATCTCCATTTGCAGACAGCACTAAGAACACATTCGCAGATTAAAATGAAACAAAGAACAGATAAACATTCAGTAGTGTCACACTAAATAAAGAATAGAACTGCAAAATAGGCCACTTTTTAGTATGAAAACGGCAAACACAAGCTCACCGCTAGTAGATATTGTCCACTTTGGCTCGTTACGTGTCACCGTCAACTTCACGGTTTTCAAACACGTCTATTAGGGAGAGGTTTCCACGGCCTTATAAGAAACGTTTCGTTCTCCTCTCCAATCGATGTGGGATCTCACAATCCACCCCCTTGGGGGCCAGCGTCCTTGTTAGCACACCGCCCGGTGTCTGGCTCTGATACCATTTGTAATAGCTCAAGCCCACCGCTAGCAGATATTGTCCGCTTTGGCCCGTTACGTATCGCCGTCAGCCTCACGGTTTTCAAACGTGTCTACTAGGGAAAGGTTTTCACACCCTTATACAGAATGTTTCGTTCCTTTCTCCAATTGATGTGAGATCTCACAATCCACCCACCTTGGGGACCAGCGTCTTCGCTGGCACATCGTCCGGTGTTTGACTATGATAACATTTGTAACAACTTAAGCCCACCACTAGCAGATATTGTCCACTTTGGTTCGTTAGGTATCGCCGTCAACCTCACAGTTTTAAAACGCGTCTACTAGGGAGAGGTTCCATGCCCTTATAAGAAATGTTTCGTTCCCCTCTCCAACCAATGTGGGATCTCACAATCCACCTCTTGTGGGCCAGCGTACTCGCTGGCATACAACCCGGTGTCTGGCTCTAATATCATTTGTAACAGCTCAAGCCCACCGCTAGCAGATATTGTCCACTTTGGCCCGTTACGTATCGCCATCAGCCTCATGGTTTTAAAACGTGTCAGCTAGGGAGAGGTTTCTACACCCTTATAAAGAATGTTTTGTTCCCCTCTCCAACCGACGTGGGATCTCACAATTCACACTCCTTGGGGGCCTAGCGTCCTCGCTGGCACACTACTCGGTATTTGGCTCTGATACCATTTGTAACAACTCAAGTCTACCACTAGCTGATATTGTCCGCTTTGGCTCGTTACGTATCGCCGTCAACCTCACAGTTTTAAAACGCGTCTACTAAGAAGAGGTTTTCACGCCTTATAAGAAATGCTTCGTTCCCCTCTCCAACCGACGTGGGATCTCACAATCCACCTCTTGGGGGCCAGTGTTCTCGCTGGCACACAACCCGGTGTCTAGCTCTAATACCATTTGTAACAATTCAAGCGCCCGTTAGTAGATATTGTTCACTTTTGCCTGTTAGGTATCGTCGTCAGTCTCACGGTTTTAAAACGCGTCAGCTAGGGAGAGGTTTCTACACCCTTATAAAGAATGTTTCATTCCTCTCTCCAACCCGATCAGATCTAATCAACTTTAAAAAATTCAAAATTTCAGCAAAAAACTTCAAAGCATAGTGCAGTTTAAGCTTACTAATAACAGGAAGGTCCATCTCCAGCCCCACAAGCTCAAGCAGCTTAAATCCATCCATGTCAGGCATGTGGACATCACTGATAACCACATCAAACTTGTTCTTGTTATCTCTCAATAACTTGAGTGCCATAATAGCCTGATTGGTCGTAGTGACTGCAACATCCAATGAACACAATTAAATTACATTTGATTGGTTCTTTCGTAAACCGATGCATGAGCTAAGGCTCCCATGTCCCGCCGACCCTTTGAAAAAGTCAAATCGTCAAACGGCTCATAGAAAGTCAAAAGCAAGCGATTCAAAACTCAAATGAATCATTCAACAAATAGACCAACCAAGGAAAAGAACCAGAAATACTGAAAAGTTAGCATACCAGAAGAAATCAACTTTAGATGAGTTAGAAATTCTTCATGCTACCAAAATGGTCAAAGCATTTTGGCCCGTTACGTATCGCCGTCAACCTCATAGTTTTAAAACGAGTCTACTAGAGAGAGGTTTTCACACCCTTATAAGGAAGGCTTCATTCCCCTTTCCAACCGACATGGGATCTCACAATCCACCCTCTTGAGGGTCCAGTGTCCTCACTGCCACACCGCCCAATGTCTGGCTCTGATACCATTTGTAACAGTCCAAACCCACCACTAACAGATATTGTTCGCTTTGGCTCGTTACGTATCGCCGTCAGCCTCAAAGTTTTAAAACGGTCTACTCGGGAGAGGTTTCCATACCCTTATAAGGGATGCTTCGTTCCCTTCTCCAACCGATGTGGGATCTCACAATCCACCCCCTTGGGATCCCAGCGTCCTCGCTACCACACCACCCTATGTCTGACTCTAATACCATTTGTAACAGTCTAAGCTACTGCTAGTAGATATTGTCTGCTTTAGCCCATTACGTATCGCCATCAGCCTCACAATTTTAAAACATGTCTACTAGGGAGAGACTTTCACACCCTTATAACGAATGTTTCGTTCCCCTTTCCAACATGGAATCTCACATGAACCGAACAAGAACAAATCATTGGCATATAGAACTTAAGAGCTAACCACATGTCAACAAATTAAACCAAATCAAACCATAAGATATTAAGGGAGTTCAAACTTCCACATTAAAGCTCAACATCAATCTTATTCCCTTGCATTCAATCAATTCAACAATCTTCACAACCAGAACATAATCCACAATCCACAAACCACAAACATTAAACAGCCAATTACCATGATAGTGGCACCGGCGAAGCAAAGTCTCCAAGATCAAAAGACAAGTGGGGTCGTCGTCGACGGCGAGAACACGCATTCCAACCGGAAATTGGTCATTTGGGTCATCAACTCTTGGCTCAACCGTCATGGTTTCAGCTTCCGACCGACAAGAACTTCGATTTGGGGAAGTAATTGAGCTGCTTTGAGTGATATTAGGCGACACCCAGATGAAATAATGAGGAAATGAGGGACGTGAAATAGAGAGAAAGCTGCGGAAGCAGAGGGAGTCTCTGTAGTCTTTGCTGAAAATGGAACAAAGAAATGGAATTTCGTTTTGCAATTTGTAATTCCGGCGCGTGTCATGTACGCGCTTTTTGACCAGGGGTTGACCCGGCAAAACATCCTAATTTTTACTTCTTTTTTTTCATTAAAATTCCTAGTAAAATGTTTTGTTTTTGTTTTTTTTTCACGTTTTTTATAATTATTTTGCTAAATAACCTCAAAAATAAGAACAGAACATGAACCGAACCGAGCTTGAAAAAAACCGGTCTACAAATGGGTATTTCATTTGTAGATTCGGAACAAGGATAAGGTACAAGATTCCCGGGGGCTGAGATCAAGTGTGGACAGGAGCACAGCAAAGCTTTGTTAAAGACACGTGTGAAGGCGCATGGCCGTTGATGTGGATGCAGTTCACCAAAAAACAAAATAAATTAGTTAACTAATTAATTAAGGTGTTAACAGCTTTAACTTTTATAAAGTGGAAAAAGGGAGCTTTTGAGTAATTTTTAAGGGAAAAATGATGTTGGAAAACCCAACTCAAGTGTGCGTTTTGACTCCCTTCGACCAAGAAAATCATGTCCCATCCCGAACAAAATCCACGTTTTGTTTCATTAACTCGGCAGTTACGAATCTTTATACTTAAATTTTGGACAAAATTAACCCTTTTACGTAGTAGTCGGTAAAACATACGATATCTCCTAGAGTTGAATTTTTCGATATCACAAATCAGCTCTATTAGGTCAGTGAAATTTTTGGTAAAAATATTAAAATAGTATAATTTCTACATGTAAATAGACGTAACGAGCTCCATGTACTGTGAAAAGAGCCTATCGTGTTTGAAGCACGGTAAACTCTTATATATTGGTATGCTAACTCGAGTGTAAATAAGAATTAATACAAGGACCAAGAAGAAAAAAAAAATATGAAAACCAAGTTGATAGGGACTAAAAGGAAAAACAATATAATTTGAAGGACTAAAAAATAATAATTATAAAGTTTGCATGGCAAAACACAAATGATGAAACAAAGAGAGGAAAATGGAGCACTTTTGTTTGTGGTGGAAAATTCAAATCATCACTTGATGTGATTGGAATCTTTTCTTTTCCTCTAATCTCTTCCAAATTAATATATATATATATATATTAAATTTATTTTTAAAATATTTTTAATTCTTTAAAATATAATATTACTCTTCATAATAATTTTTAAAATTAAAAAAAAAAAAATCAATGTCGTCGTCCTACTCACTATCGTATCCTTTAGTGATCACGTCAATATCTTATCTAATATTCTAATAAATTACAGATAATTTTAAAATATTTATAAAAATTAGGGGTAATATTGTAATTTTTAAAAGAATACGGATATTTTTTTAAAATAAAGAAAAAGATTGGCCTTGGGTGACATGGGTGGATGAGTTTCCTTTAATGGAAGTTAGTGGGCTAAAGATTTTGTAAATAGATATTCATAGATATGGTGATGTTACTATTTATACTCTATGCTTTTTATTTATTTATTTTATTTTATTAATTTTAAATTATGATTATTATGTACTTTTTAAGGTATCTTAAAGAGACGTATCTATAAAATATATATTCTTAACAATAAGATCAAAATATATTTATGATATTATTATTCTAAATATGATTATGTTATATATTAGCACGTTGTCACTGACACTTTTAGAACATTAAATTTAAATATATAAAAATAAAAATATAGAGAATTTGAACCTCTAACCTCTTCTATTTATATAGATTATTTTAATTAATAATAAATTAATTTAGTATTAAATATGGATGTTAAATCATATATAACCATGAAAACATACCATTAATAAAAATTATTAAATTAAATTTGTAAATATAATCATTATTGCTAAAAAGAGAATAAAAAATTGCAACGTTTATTCAAATGAAAATAAAACAAAAAAAATATATAATTTCAATTATATATACCCATCCAAATATTTCGGCCCAATGTTAAGCCCAGGCCCAATGTTTGCTTATTGAAAATGATTGTCCGTGTTTGTAGGCCCATGGGCCGACCAAATGACCATGGGCCCACATTCGACAATACTTCCCTCTGGCCTGTCGTGAAATAAATTTTATCGTAGGGACGACATAGACTTATATTTTATTTCTTGCAAAAAAAAAAAACATATTTTTTATTTTTTAAAATTTACCCCACAAATTTGTGCAAATAGCTGGCGGGTCACAACCACGAAGAAAAATATTTGTAAATATATGTTTAAACTTAAAAAATAGCGTTAATTGGCAAAGTGAGCATAATTCAACAGTGACTAATATGGACTCTCGAGTAAAAAAAAATTAGAAAGTCAAATTTTTTTGTTCAATAGTTGTAGAACTAAAAAAACTACAGTATTAATATAACTCGTAAAATATTATATTATTTCATGTTGCTTGTATATGGGATAATAAAAAAATAATTTAAAATATTAGTTTTTTCACACATGGTTTTATTAAATAAAATTTAAACAAAATAAAGTTGAATTTAGAAAAATTTGAAATAAAAAAATATTTTATATTCAAACGACCAAGTCCAATATTAAATAAAATAAGATTAAAAAAACAGTGGAATTTCCTTTTATTTATTTATTTATTTTTATGTGAAAAAGATCTTAAGGATTAGTTTCAATATAATAAATAAAGTAAATGATAGGTTGAATTTCAAAAATATTATTTATTTTTTATAAATCTTTTTTTTTTCTTGTTTTTGTAGGAATTAATTATTTAAATATTTTTTTAGTACAATATCTTTTAATAATTGATAGGTTAATTTTTAAAATATTTATAATTTGAAAATTTTTAGACCATTTATAACGGTTATTTATGATTTAAGGGAACCAATTAAACTATATTTAAGTTAACTGTAAAGTTATTATTATTATTTTTTTTTTTTGTCTTTTTTTTTAACGAGCATACATGAAAGTAAACGACATTGATCAGAAATCTCAAAAGAAAGACTTCTCTGATCTCTACCACAAAAATAAAAGATAGATAGATATAGAGTCAAAGAGAGTAAAGACGTGGTGCCCTTAAGACCCGAATGACATAGTATTTATTTGACTTACGTCTCATACTGTTCGCTCGTATCATGAATCAAGTCTTAACTATTGAGACATATCAAATTTATAAACATTTGCCCGTAATAAATGAATATTGACATTATGTAAACTTAGCATCAATTAGTGTCTAGACGGGGAAAAATAGTTAATTAAACAGTATAATTCTCGTATTCCTTTCGTTGGGGACTACGTAGTTCCGTTTATGGAGGACATTTGTCCGAATCTTGTACAGTGTCGAAGAGTGAGATCTACTCAATCTCGACACTTCATTGACTAAATTGAAGATTCTCGAACCCTAAAAACGAAAAAAAAAATTATTATTTATTTATTTTGTAATTTTGAGTATAGTTTAAATTTCGTTTAAAAAAAATCCAAACCCTATCCATTTTCTCAATCCATTTACAAAAAAAAAAAACCAAACCTCTCCCCTTTCAACATGGAACTCCAAGCCGACAAAACCCCACTTTTCGACGACGTCGAGGAAGACGGCGACAAGAAAACCGGCGAACTTTCCGACGACCGGAGCACCGTTCTGGGTCTTCACCTCTCAACAACAAAGCCCAGAATTTTCTCATGCAATTATTGCCACAGAAAATTCATCAGCTCCCAAGCTTTGGGTGGCCATCAAAATGCCCACAAACGAGAGAGGACTTTAGCCAAACGAGTTCAAAGATTCCATTGGGCGGCGGCCGCAATTCCGCTTCACGGCGGCGCGTTTCACAGACGGTCGTTGGGAATTCACGCGCACGCTCAGCAAATTCAGAAGCCTTTGGGTTTTTTTGGTGGGCCTACTTCCTCTCCTCCATTGTGGCCGAGACCAGTGTTTATGGGTCAGCAGCCGGCGGTGGAGCGGCTGACTACGGCGATTGGTGGCCGGAATTTTGGGAGGTATGATGACGTGGCTAGATGGCCGGCGATTGGAGGCTCAAACGCCGGTAATGAGAATATTGTTCATTCTCAGACCAAACAAGATCAAGGTCAGACCAATTTCCTTGACTTGTCTCTTAAACTCTAATTTAGATTATATGTCTATTTAGCGATAAATTAATTAATTAATAATAATTTTATTAATATTATTATTATTATTTTGGTAATAAATTCATAGATTTGATATCTTTCCTCAAAACAGCTTTGAAAAGCCATGCAAAATTTCGAGCATTTATTATGATATAATATATATAGTTTTTTAAAAGGACTTTCTTCTTTTTCTATTTAATTAAAGTCAAAATTTTCATTATTATATAAATTTAATTTGGTGCAAAATAGGGAATGAAAATTAAAAAATCTTCACGTGCCACACATTTGCATAAATAAATTAGGAAAAATTTACTTAACACAATCAACAAAATAAATCTATTACTTTAGTAATAATTAAATAATAAAAAATAAGTTGAAAAATTAGATTGATTAATTTATTATTATTATTATTATTATTATTTATTGATTATTTTGTCTAAAAAATTATCCCAACTTATAAATTAATTAATATTTTGTTTCAACGTACAAGTATTTTTTTTTTAAATAATACCCTTAAATTTTTAATAGTTTCATATTTTTAATATTTTTTTAAAAAGTAAAAAATACCCTTAAATGGGATATTCTGTGTATTAGCAAATTTTTAAAGTTAAACTTAAAAGTAAAAATATTTTTTAACTTTTTCCTTTTTTTTTGTTTAAATTAACCATATTTTTGTATAAAATATAAATTAGGGTTATTTTTATTAATTTAGCTTAATTTATTTACAAAGATTTTTAATTTTGGCATTAATTAGACTTTGTCAATTGGACGGTAAGAAAGCAATTAGATTTATTGATTGATAGATTTGATTAGCATTTATTATGAGGAACAAGACAAAAATGGCCTGCACTAATCAAAATGTTTAGATTTTAATTATTTTAATTAAGGTTTAAGAATGACCTTAAGATATAATGAGAAGCCAAGCACGCTGCTTTTGCACATCTAATTACATTTTTTTTTATTTTTTTTTATTTTCAGAAAAAAGTCGGGTTCCATCGACATCATGAAAATTCATTATTTTCCTTATTTAAAAAAGTTTAATTGAGAGAGTTTAGTTCTAAACCAATCGACATACCAACATAAATATAATATATTTTAAAAAACATCAAAACTTTTTGTTGTTTATAAATAAAACTAAGAAATCTCTAAACTTTCAATTTTGCGTCTAATAGTCTAATAGGTCTGTCCGTCCCTGACAAATCCAAAAAAACTCCAAAAATTATAAATTTTCAAATATAAATTTGAATTCATGTCTAATTTTGAAAGTTACATAAACCTATACCTCAAAGTCCTGGGACTACCAGATAATTCTCTGGCGGTATGATAAGGAAGAAGGGAAGGGAGACGAAAGCCAAGCCAAGCAAGATGAATGAGAGAGCCGACTCGGCTTCAAAACCGTACGTGGAGCAACAGAAATAGTGGCAGCAAAGTAGACGAAAGCCAAGCCAAGCAAGATGAATGAGAGAGCCGACTCGGCTTCAAAACCGTACGTGGAGCAACAGAAATAGTGGCAGCAAAGTTTAGAAGCACAATAAGATCCAGATGAAGTTAACGTAAAACTCAACAACATTCATGTAAACAAAATGGACAGTCAACCCAGAAAATCCTATATGATCATAATAAGCTCACATGTGAAAACAACAAATCTAAAAAAAGCCTTCTTCCCAATCTTTATTGACAACAAACAATCTAGCTTTTGAAAAGCATGCTAAAGCAAAGGATATAATACCCTTTGGCATGTATAGATATGCATGAAGTGAGGAGGACGGCTGTGTGAGTTTGGGTCAACTTGCACGTACTTTGACTATTCTATCGAGAAAACAGTCTGACCCTACTACATTTAGTTGATATAGCAACACCAACTTAGATAGGTGGTTACAGATGGGCTCATTCTCTCTAAACCCTTTAGGCACTTTGACTATTCTATCGAGAAAACCGTATGACCCTACTATATCTAGTTGCTATGGCAACTCTAAGATATTAAATCTTAGATAAGTGGTTACACATGGTTGCTATGACCTGATTTCATTCTCTCTAAACCCTTTATATTCACGACTCTTATTAACTACTAAGCCAACTCGAAGTGGGTGAAGAAAAGGAAATAGGAGATCAAACTCGACATTATTACGAGAGCACAAGCAAGAGAAATTGGCCACGACCTCTGCGGTTTTCGAGTGACTGACATTCATGAAAAATTTAGATCCCAAATCCATAACATGATTTGTATTTCCAAAAGATATGATTGCAGCTAGCAATTACAGTCAAACAACATTGCTAACAAAGATCACATAGTTCTGCAACATATAACCAATAGTAATCTAGAGAAACAACAGTTCAGTCATTTCTTTCAATGATTCTAGCAGGACCAATTTGCAAGGCTTTTTGTCAGTTAAAGCTATAAGTTTTCCACCCTTTTTTGGGTGTTCTTGGCCAACAGGTAGAGAACCTTTTGTAATCACCAAAGGCACTAAGTTCTACTTGTTTGTAATCACTCGGTCCCTCAGCTTTTTATTAACAGATGATCCCCAAAAAATAAAACAACTGCATAGATCTTAACACTAATCATGATTCATGAACTATGGCTATTGCAAATGATGATAAAAAGGAAGAAAACATAATCTTGAATACCTTCAAAAATGGTAACAACCGTGTTCGATGTTGTCAATGAAGCGTATGGTTCATCTTTCGACAAAAGACTCGACAGTTCCCAGCCATCGAATAAGTTCACATCTGTCTTTGTTCATCATATATTCATGCAAAAACATAGAAAGCTCCTTATCTATCCCCCTTTCTGCTAAGAACTCCCGAAATTTCGTCTGGATTTTGCCACTCAATTTCCTGAAATCAACAAATACCAAAAGTATCATTAGTAAACAAAGGTGTTAGAGCCCAACAAGCCTATAACTTAATTTCACTGAACTAAATTGTGCATTGTGATACCAGCCAACCAATATTGCAGCTCTAGAATACAATGTGGCTGACAATTTCATACAAATGGATGTAGGAGAAAATTTAAGAACGGTATTTAGCTAATCCGAGCATAGATCATAGAATAAAACATCAATTACCATTTTAAATATATGCGAATCGTTGTTAATTATTAAGAACAGATAGATTTGAAGTTAAATTTTAATTGAGGAGTTACTACAAGACAGCCATATAGAATATCCAAATCCACAACAAAATGGTCAATGATTCGTAATCACCATACAAAAGCGGCCGAAGCAACAACAAAATCACAGAAAGAACGAGAAACTGAGTATCTGAGATAAGCAATACCGAAAATCAGGCCCCATGTAGGGTCTCGCAAGAGTCCTATCTCGTTTAAGAACATATAGCTTCTGAACCTCCAAAGAATCAGGCCATGCCGAGCACACCAACTCCAAATCCTCAGAACCTTCCCCCTTCGAAATGTCAACAAGCACGCTAATGTGAAGACGAAGGTCCTCTTCACCATCGCTATCGTCTCCAAGTTTGGGAACCGATTCACAGCCATCAAACATCGTCGCTTCAATTTTAATATCTTCAGTGTCTCCAAATTTCCCTTTCAATGTAATCCACTGCATTCCCGGTCGGTCTTCAACCGAAAATGCACCGAATCTCGTTGCAGGCTATAAGATTACGCAGCAAAAAATTAAAGCAAACATTCTTAATTGCAAATTGCAAAATGTAGGACAAGGAAATGGATCGAGAGTAGGTAGAGAAAATAATCGGTGAACCTGATGAGGAGGAGCGTAATTTGACTGGTACTCAATCTCGTTACGAAGTACTCTGAGAGCGATGGCATCGAAGGGAGATTTGGGATTGGCGGCGGAAACGAATGGCCTGGTGAAGAGCGATTTTGAGATGATTGTGCTTCGTGAAGGAGAACTGTGGCGGCAGCATAATCGATGAGTGAAGAAGTTACTGTAAGATCGAATCTTCCGGTGAGATGATCGGAAAATCGCCGACATGATTAAAGATTCCGGCGGTAAAAAATTTACAGCTTCTGGGTTTTTGGTCCCGATTGGAACGAAGCGAAGGAAGAGGGTTTAGTCCCGAAGCTCAGAATATCCCAAAAATGAGCCCAAAAGTTTTAACTTCTGAAAACAGGCACATTAAAAAAAATAATAATAAATAAATAAATAATTGTCGTTAATATCCTTAAACAATTTAACATTTTTTTAAATAAAAAATTAAAAATTAAAAAATATATATTTACAATTATGTTTTAATAGGAAATAATCTGTGTTAATATATAAAAAAAAATTTGAAAATACTATTTTTAAAATTTCATAAATATTAATATTTTTAAATTATTTTAAAAAATTGGAGAGTATTAATAAAACTCAAATGAATTTTTAAAATTTCATAAATATTAATATTTTTAAATTATTTTTTTAAAAGTTTAAGAGTACCGGTGAACTTTTAATTGTTTATGAGTATTTTTTAATTAATTTAGCGTTTCTTTGCCGGTAGATATGAGAAAAAGACTATTATACCCTCATGTGTAAAAAATGGTAGGCGGGTCCAAATTTTTTTTATGAAATTTCCATTGTCTTTTCGTTGCTTCCCGCCAAGCACAAGGAAGTCGAACAGAGGTTAAGGAGAACTCGGTACGTGTGCTATAAAGATGAAGCTTGAGTTTTGTAATAGTTCAAGCTCACCACTAGCAAATATTGTCAACTTGTGCCAGTCTCACAATTTTAAAACGTATTTACTAAGGCTCGAACCAAAGGAAGAATAGTACTAAGCCCTACTTCGATCGGACGGTGCGAGACACTAGGGGCTAGACTCTCTCCATAGTAAACACATTTTGAAACCGTGAAGCTAACAAGAATACATAACGGGCCAAAACAAACCATATCTTACGAGTGCGATAAGACTAAAAACAAGTCCATCTAAATTAGAACAGAGGCTATATTGATTTGCTTAGAGAAAATGTGGGTTTGTACAAATCATGAGCGAAGCTCCACAAGCATGATGAGAATAGCAGGTGTCAATAGTAAATTATACAGCAACCAAGAATGAACATTAATTTTTCCAGCCTTATATCTAAGCCTTCTTTGTTTACCTTTCTGTACAAAGTCCCAATTGCAGTACTGAAATGAAAGGTATTAAATGTATAGCTACTGTGTACCTGTAATTGAAGCTTCTTTACTTTCATGTCCTCAAAGCTCATCACTGAGGTAGCGGCCCTTTAGCTAGATCACTGTATTGTTTCTCTAGTTGTGGACTTGCACATGAGAACAGTGATGGCTTTTGCTTCTTTACCTTGATCCCGAACAAGAACGATCGTAAAGGAATTCGGGTTCGGGTTAACGCTTTCGATTCAGATTGAATGCTCTTGTCTGCTGAAATGCCAAATTCTTGATCAAGTCTTAGTAAAGACTTCTCGATTTGAGCTTGTAGAGATCGAACTCGATCCTGACCGACTTCTAACTCATCGGCAATCTTCCTGTTTTCTTGTTTCATATTGAGAACTTCACCTTGAAACTTTGCAGCTTGATAATCGTTCATTTCTGATTGTTCTTCACTTGATCCTTCTTCTGTGATTCTTGATATTTCGTTTTGTATGTCGTTTAAGGATTCGTATCGACTGCTTACTTCATCTGTCAATACCGCGCTATGTTCCAACCAAAGGGATAATTCAGTTTGGATCTCTCTTAGGTGTGTGTAGATAGGTCGAGCGTCGGATTCGACCGACGACGGTTGATGTTTCACACTTCCTTCTACCATGTCTTCTCTTAACTTTTGCAGCTCTGATTGAAGGTCTTGGATTGAAGTCTGGAACTTTTGAATCTGATGAACTGCCGTGCTGAATCGCAGCCAGAATTCGAGATTCATCTCTAGTTGTCCGTCGATATGCGAGCGGATTCGTTCTTCCATAGGTGACATGATAATCGATTTACTCACACTCCTTGCTTTCCTCTTTGCTGTCTCTTTTCTTGGTAGGCTTGCATTTCTCAACAATTTGTAGCTTTCTTCTGTGGGATCGGCGCTCGGTTCGCTGTAGAAATCGGGAGTCGAAACATGTTCTAAATATGGACTTGAGGATTCGGAGTACAAGGAGCTAGGAGCCTCATGAATGGTTTCTTGGGACTGCTCCAGCTCCTGATCCTGCTCCTGTTCCCGCTCCTCATCTCTTGCATTAGTTCCTTCATCTATTTCTGCATTATTATTCACTAATGATTTTATAACATCATCTTTGGTGGAAATGGCATCTTTTAGTTCTTTAACCTGCATCGCCAACTCGAAGATGCTGTCGCGATTCTTCTGTTCGACTTCGCTTAGCTTGTTTCTTACATCTTTGTAGTCCCTCAGCACTGATGTATACTCCTCCAGTAAAATCTTTTCTCTGTCTTCTAATCCTTTCAAGAACATCTGCCTCAAGGTTGGATGCTTTTCTTCCTCCAAATCATGAGGAGTATCATCTGTTTGAGCCTTGGATCTTTCATGTTCTTCCTCATGTATTGATTCCTCAGCTGTTTCTTCAGCTGCAATGCTTGGAATCTCTCCCAGTTTCAATCCTGAATCTGTTGAAAACGTTGATGTTTTCACATCAGGATCAACCATCATTACATCTTGTATGAACTCAGAATTGTCAGCCTCATTCATTTCCATCGTCTGTAATTTACCAAATAAGTGATCGAGATTACAACTCGCTTCGGTGAACTCGGTTTGAAGATTGTTGTTTTGAATTTGTACATTCTGGTTTAGATTGTTGACTCTGGCTAATTCGGCCTCCAATTCTTGTATCTTCTTCTTCATGGTCTCTGAATTCTCCACAAGAATCTCCTTTTCTTGTTCCAATTGTTGGACGTTTGCTTGGAGTTCATCTGTTTCTGATTTAAGTCGTCTAACAAGAGATGTCTGAGAAGAAACTGTAGTTTCAAGTGTGACAATCTTGTTTACAAGTTCATCGATTTTCTCAGCCAATTCAGAAATGGTGAATGAGCTATTTGAATTCATTTCCAGATACTCTCTGATCTTCTGACTTAGAAGCTGTATATCATGTTTGTTTTCAGCTGTGCAAGCGGCCAGTTGATTTGAGGTTGTCAATTCTGTTTCAATGCTGAAATCTTCTTGTAAGTCAATGGATTCATGATTCTCTGTTGGGATTGATATGAACTTACATTTGAGACTCTCAAAATCTTCAACCACTTTCTTGATTCTGCCATTCTCTAGTTTCGTTTCTTCAACTGTTTTCTCCTGTTCTTCTTGCAACCTACTTAGAGATTCTCGGCAGGCGTTCAGAGCTGTGGTAGCCATTAACGTCCGAGCTTCGTTATCATCGATAATCGAGCCAATGCAGAACTCATCCTGTAAGCTACTGATTCTTTTTTGCATTTGTGTGATACTGTTTTCCATGTCCCAATATCTTTCGCCCTCGCGTTCATACAAGCTCTTAACGAATTCCATTTCGGTTTGAAGAACTAGAATTTCTTTATGTAGCTTACTGATTTCTTCTAGAGCTTCATCTTTGGTAAGCCCTGATTTTGGAGTTGAAGCAGTTCTACTACTAGCACTGCTTGCATTTCTCTTGAGTTTTGTTTTTCTCATCATCGAAGGACTCCTAGAAAACCCCTTCTCGGGGAACTTTGGAACTTCTGGTACTCCTAGTTTTGGTGAGGCACCCGATTCAAACTGGTTAGGACCTTTGCCACCGAAAGATTCTCGAGAAAAGAAATCTACCTCACAATCATCATCATCATCATCAATCGTGTAATGAACTCGTTCTGGGAAGATCGAAGCTATCATTCGATTTGCACCTTGAAACTCTTTCGAAAGATGCTCGTATTTCTCTGCTAAAGCTCGGTATGCCCTAAAGGATTCTTCTACGTGTTCTACAAGTTCAGGCCTCTTCCTATAGTACATTTCAGCTCTCTTTGCGAAAGAATCGCCATCGCCTTCAATGATTCTCATCATGTTTTCAACCTTTTCCTCCATATCTACAGTTCCAGAAGCATAAGCGGTCAGTCCAAAGATCGTTTTAAAGAACTAGCAGCTAATGATTTGCAATATTGATCTCAGATAGCGCAAAAAAACGAATCAAAATACAGGTAATTCCAATCCGATTGAATCAGTACGCCAAAACTACTACAATTTAGGAACAGAGCGTGGATTGCAAGAGCAAAGTATTCATTCAATACAAACTCCAGATTGGAAACCCTAAAACCTCGTTAGACGTAAGATAATCTCGAACCTAAAATCAATGTTCGTTGTGTAAAACGAAAGAAAAAGGAGAAAAACACAGAGATTCATAATCGACATGCTTGAATCATGAATGCAGATGCGAAAACCTAATTCAAATGAATTAAAGTGCAAACATACCGTGGAGATTCTGTTCGAGCCATTTCGATTGCTTCGTCCTGATGTGACTAGCCCACCACCATGAATACGCATTACTAGCAGCTCTCTGCAACATCTCTTTCTCTCTCTCTACAGATTCGAAAGAGATTCAAAGTCCATCCGAAGAAGAAGAAGAAACCGATCGACGGTGATTACAACAATGAAAAGTAAAAAAAAAAAAAAAAAACTATACGAAAACGATCGATATCGCAAGATCAATGGCGGCAGAAGGTTTTAGAGTAATGGAGGAGAGTTTTGCAATGCAAATCTCCAAAAAAATGTTTACAGAATCGCAACAAAATCCAAAAATGATGATGATGATGATGAAGATGAAGAAACGGCGCCAGCGAGCAATGGAGATGAGATTAAGAATATTGAGAGAGAGAGATCGCAGGCAGCTTACAGTCGTGGAGGAGAGGATACAGCGGCTTGTTTATAGGTGTTGGGAAGGGAGGACCAAGCCCTTCCATTGATTGCCACGTGGCAATGCCAGGCTGGCCAATCCTGTTTCTGTTATTAATTTTTAGTTACATGCCTCTTCCCGCGTTCAGTTGTCATTGTGTGCGTGTTTTTTTTTAAGGAATCATTTTAGTTGTCTTTGTTGCAACATCTTATCTTTTTCTTTTTTTCTTTTTTTAAATCAAAATTAGTTTTTTTTTTTTTTTTTAAAAGCTTATTGTCAATTTATTCTCTAGATTAAATATATATATATATATAGTTCTTAAATTTTAATTTAATTTAAAATTCATCTATCGGCACAAAATTCGGAAAGGGTAATATTTTTCATCTTCACGTAACAAAAACGGTAAACGGTATAGTTTGTTTGAGGGAGAAAAACGTAACCAAGAAAATAAAGAAAATTTGAACGACAATGTCATGCTTGCCAGACGGGCCCTAATCTGAGAGATTGGGTGAAGCAAATCTTTCGGCATGAAAAAGCTTTACGGGCCCTAATCTGAGAGATTGGGTGAAGCAAAACTTTCGGCATGAAAAAGCTTTAGATATGTAGGTTGTATGACCTTGTGAGGTTGAGCATGGCTTCGATCCCAGGTCGAGAGGGAGACCTTGTGGGTTAGGTTTGTCTTTACGGTCCTATTTCACCCACGAGATAAACTAAAATTCAAATGAATATATGCATCCATAATTTTATAATTATTAAAAATAAAATTTAAAATTAATAACTTTGAATTAATCTAAAGAAAATAAAGAAATTAATGAAAATATAGTAATATTTTCATGTTTTTAGAATTTTAATATTTAATTTTAACAATTAAACTAACTATAAAATATTATTAATTAATTTATTTATAAAATACTATTAATTAATTATTAATAAATTACCAACCAGACTAATCAAAATTAACTACTCTATTTCTAACAAAAATTCATAAAATAGTAATAATAAAAAAAATAATAAATTTAAAAAACAAAGATGTGTGCGGCCTTTTGGGCCTCGAGCGGCCCAATATTATTAATGTGCTTGAGCAAAATCGGCTTGGCCCAATATTTGGGCCTCGAGGAAACTGGGCCGAATTTGGGCCCTAAGCTCAGAGGTAAAATAGACTGGGCCCAACATTGATAGGGCAGCTTTGAAAAAGGGCCTGCTCTTAATTAATTTCAAAATATTTTAATTACAATATCATCGTTTTATCATATCATTTAATAATTAATTAATTTGTCACTCAGATAAGTATATGATTAAAAATTAACAAAGAAGTATTAAAAAAAATGCTCAATCATGTCTTTGTTAATGTAGGGAACAAAAGTCTACAAAGCTACATCAGAATAATTATAAGTTCTTCATAAGGGAATAACAGATTCCCAGAAACAGTGTATTTTGGTTTAGTATTGTGAATCAATTCTCTAAAATACATCAACACACAGCTTTTCAAACTTATCTACGCACCAGCACTGCATTTTCCCGCCGTTTAAATTCCCTCCGGCCACCGGAGAATGACCTGAAAGACAAACACACGCCTATTTAACGGTTGTTGCAGTTCTCTTTCTCATCCACTCTTTTTGGAACAATAAGTTCATGTTCTTTGTTCCCGCCAACTGAATCTTCCGGCTGATCGGAGTTCCTCTCCCTCAGTAGGTTGCTGCCATTGGCAGCGGCGGTGGCGGATCGCATCGCTCGGGGAAGTTTCAACGGGACGTTGGCAACCTCATTTGAGTCGTTCTCTGTCTTCTGGATGGGCTCAGGTATTTCTGGTTGGGAAGATGGTTGTGGTGTAGGAATGAGTTGAATTGTAGATTTTCTCCATTTCTTTCTCTGGTTTGGCTTGTTGGACTTCGATTTCGCCTGTTTGGTTAGGAGGGAAAATGGTCAAATAAGTGAGTAATATGCAAGCATCCAAGTTCGTTTGAAAAACTACAACCTAATCTACTCTTTGTCCACTTCTAGCAGATATTGTTCACTTTAGCCCGTTACGTATCGCCGTCAGCCTCACAATTTTAAAACGTGTCTACTACTGGGAAGAGGATCACACCCTCACAATCCACCCCTCTTTGAGGGCCCAGCGTCCTCACTAGCACACCGCTCGTGCCTGATTCTAATACTATTGTAACAGCTCAAAGTTCACTGTTAGCAGATATTGTCCACTTAGATCTATTACGTATCGCTGTCAGCCTCATGGTTTTAAAACGCATCTACTAGGAAGAGGTTCACACCCTTATAAGGAATGTTTTGTTCCCCTCTTCAACCGGTTGTGAAATTTGATAACTAGAACGGTTATTGTTATCTGAATCAAAAAGAAGTTTTAACCAATAAGGAGAATGAAAACGTACCAATGTGTTTCCTATGTCTGATAGAGGCTTTCTTTTTGCGCCACCATCTTCAGCAGGAGGAGCCTCACTTGGCCTCTCAGCCAATGCATTCTGAAGCAACCTTGCACCATTCGAAACAAGGTCACGACTCTCATCCTCATTGGTTTCACCATTTTCAGTAGCATTTTCAACATCCCCAACTAAGTCTGGTTGCATCGACTCGTCCCGCTCGCTTTTACTGCCTCTGTTTGAACACTTAGATGGAATGCAACCACATGACAAGCCACACGCACCACCATTGGCTCTACATAGGCACTTAGTTGTCTTGCAAGAAGAGAATTTGCTGCAAAGGCAGCAAGCAGTGGTAGCAGTAGTGGCCTCACTCACACGAACTACCCCATCACCAGAACTATCCGAGTTGAAGTTTGCATTGTTTGCATTGTTTGTGTCATCTGAGACGTCCATACTCGAACGGCCCTTAGCTTTAATGATTTGTTTTCTGGTATGTCGTCGTTTCATTGATTTCTCCCAATTGTAATTGGCATCATTATCATCTGAATAACGATCCGAGTAATCTGAGTCCGAGGTATCCATGTCTGCCAATAAAATGATAGAACTCCGCTGATCCTGTTCACAACAGCATAGAATTCAATAATATAAAAAGAGGGGAGACTTATATGTTGTAGCCCAAGCCACCACCAAATACCAATACCAATTGTTGTGGCTTTCGTTACAATAAGTGGTATTAGAGCATTGGAGGTTGTAGCATTACGGCACAAAACAAGTGGTATCAAAGTATTTTTGGTTGTAGCATTCCGCTACAATAATTGGGTATCGAAGTTTTTTTGGTTGTAGCATTTCGCTACAACAATTGGGTATCAGAGCATTAAAGGTTATGGCATTATGACACAACATTATATCGATAGAAAAAAAAGTGTCAGTTACCTGCTTGCGTAAATTATAGTTATGTCCCCCACTATTAATCTGATCTGAAGTGCTTCGCATGGAATGCTTCTTCAAAGCTGAGTTCTGCAGTTTAATAAAGATTTTAAAAGGCAAAAACGTTAAGAGGAGATAAAATGTTAAGATAAAAGAGAAAATAAACATCTTGACAATGAAGAGTCAAAACAAGAAAAAGAAAATAGACTATAAATTTCACCTGATGAATAAGTTCAGCCTTTTGGGCTTCTGATTTCTTAAGCATGCCGCTAAGGTTCACTATTTTTTGTTTCAACTCTCTAATTTCGGAATCCTTCTCCCTAGAAGCAAACTCTTTATCCCATAGCAAACATCTAAAAAAAAAAAAAGCACAGATAAATTAATGATGACAAGGTATCTATAATGAACAAAAGTTGCATGAGTTGATGCTTCATTACCTTGAAGAGGATGCTAAATTCATCAAAAAATTCATTATATTCTTTGCATCTACAAGAGAGCGAACTTGATGCCAACGACCCCTACCGCCACCAAGAACGCGCTCGCGTTCTTCTGCCTCTGACAAATGTGAGGCCATAGAAACCAGAGAGCTGGATGACGTAGCAAGCATGTTCTCAAGAGCAAAAATTCTTGAATTTCTTGCACCAGGTGACATTGTTCGAGTACAATCACTGTCCAGACAATTCAAACACATATTCATGTTAACATACTTATTTGGCAATCAAATATAGAAACCAAACATCATAGTACAATACTATTTTATTCACCTTAAATTAGCTCCCCTAATCAATTCTTCTTCCTCCTTAAGCCGCGTCAATTCATTGGCCATCTTCGACCTCCTGTAATAGCAAGGATTTCCATTTCTATAAGGATTTATTGAAATAAAGATACATTTGAGGCAAGTAAGAAAATAGGAATTGATATTAAATGTTTTATTGTATAATCAAAATGAGTTTGAGATTTTCAAGAATGCTAAGAAGGAAATACTCCAGAAGTGTTTTTCATAAAGGTGCTTGAAACTTACTCTTCCATTTGCCGCTCATATTCAGAACGAACTTCATGCACTCTTACTGTGACTTCAAGTTCATGCTCAATATTCTGCATTAGAGCCTACAACAGAGAAAAAAAAATGTATTTAGTTCATTCATTATTCATCTGACAATTCGACCTTTATGATATTTTGGAATGCATGATTTGAATAGTCCTTTCTTCTTTTACTATTTGGTTACTCAAAAGTTCAATACCTGAATTCCAGGACCATTTGCTCCGCCACCTGCAGATAAAATACAAGTTCCATTAGTCAAACAACTTAAACAAGAATGCAAATTGAAAAAAGGACTTTTTCAACGCTATATTAAAATTTACTCACTGGAAGTTTCACGTGCTGCCTTTCGAGATTCTAAAAGTTCTTTAAGCCTTTTTGTTGCCTGAGCAGCTTCTTCGGTCTTTCGTTGCAAGACCTGTTCGCAAACACAGACATTAGAATCATCCAAAACAAACTATGATAAACGAGTGTGCTGATTGATAATCGGCTTACCATTTTCTGCCTTTGATTCAAAGCTAAGAGCTTATGCATCTCATATTCATTTCTCCTGCCCTCCTTCTTCAGCTGATCATACGTAAACAAATATTAAAAAGAAATAAAACCAGTAAAAATCTATCAATGAGATATTGCTCTCGCTT